GGTGTGCTCACAGGAGCTATAGCAAACTTCAGATAACGACTAAGACCTGGTCGTCCTGTTAAATCAACACAGTGCTGTATTTCTAATATGAGTCGTTTGAGGAGAGGCTTTGAGAGTGATACTGCATACACAGCACTCACTAGCACAGTATTAGCAGGAAACTCGAACTGTCCTCCTACAAGAGCAACCACTGCTGCTTCTACTGTCTCACAGGACAATAGGCTTCCTTCTTCTACTCCAATCCTTACACCATATTTCTCCCAATTCATCAGTTGAGCTTTCTCTCCTTGAATTAAGAACAGCTTCTTCTCTGCTACCTGGACATCACTCAGACAATCCAAATTATCTATCAATTGTATAAAATACACTCACTCACTCACTCAATAATACTCTTACCCATTGAAGGGATCAGGTAGTTAAATTGTAATCCAATGGTACTAGTCTCTTTGATTTGACTCCATTGCTCCCTCTCCTTCATTAGTTTGGCAGTATACAATTCATTATCAGCAACTTTAGTTTTCAGTTCTAAATATTCTCTCATATAATATACACATTGATGACAATACTCTAACCTTTAGTGATCTGTTTCTCCTTGAGATATTGTTCCTCTAATTCTCTCTTCTCTTCCTCTACTTGCTCCTTCTCTTTCTCCACTTTTCTCTTCCCTTCTTCTACTTGTTTCTTCTCTTCCTCAATTTCTTTCTTCTCTTCCTCTACTTGTTTCTTCTCTTCTTCTATTTCAGTTATATATACTTCATAATCATCAACTTTAGCTTTCAGTTTCTCATTATCTTCTACATTAATAGACTCATCTAATACCGTAGGTTGGGATATATTCGCGGCTGTAATTATTCGCAGTCATAAAAAACTTAATTAAAAACCATGGAAACTGTTAGAGCGTTGCTATGACAATTAAGACCACGTGATTAGTGTTCAGCTATTCATCTGTTCTTTAGCAGCTATAGTGGAGCCATTCACCAATAGCGAGTCCTTCTCTATCTGTTAACTTCTTGTATGGACCTCTACCTCAGAGCTCTTTCAGCCTCTTTGCTGCAAATTGTTGCTGGTCCGCGTGCTGGTGATAATAAACCACGCCCAAGTCAATAAACACTAACTAGAATGGGCGGAGAGTCCCAAAATGCGGCGAGGCACTAGTTCTGAAAAGAACCGGTAAAGCAGCTCCAAAGAGACCAATGCTTAGTGACACAAGAAGAACAACAGCTCAGGAACACTGCAGCAAGGTGCTTTCTTCACTATCGCGCCGTTTTCAATTAAAATAACACCTCGGTTTCCATGGTTTTTAATTGAAATTTTTTTATGACCGCGAATAATTGCAGCCACGAATATATCCCGACCTACGGTATTATGTACTGATGATACACTAACCAGTAATAATCTGTTTCTCTTCTTGTAACTGTGCCTTTGCTTTTAACACCTCTTCCAATTTCTCACTCTTTACAGTTTCACTATCGTCACCTTTAGCTAAAAAGATAACAAAAATGATCATACATGTATACATGTACACGTACAGTTTAACGTGTATAAAAATCAGTCTGCTGTATGCATGTACAGTGTACATGTGCATGTAGCTAGAAAATTTGGTGCAGCAACATACATGTACATGTACATGTATTCAGTAAATCAAGCTTCATTCATTAAAATTTTAACAATGGGTGGTTTGTTGTAGTGCAAAATTTCAGATATCGGCTCATTTTAAAATAGCCGAAATTCGAAAAGTTTTTGTCCAAAAATCATCTCAAACTTTCTACATAGCAAAAAGGATATGCATCAGAAAATGTAATAAAAATTGGTGGTGATTTTTAGCCATTTTTTGGAAAAACCATGATCTGTAGTACAGGGTAATTTGCAGATGGTCAAATGTTTGTCAAAATTTTAATGGAAAGCATTTTACAAGAATTCTACACTCCAAATTTCTATAACTATGTATACATTACATCACATTAGTTATGTAAACTAATATTATGTAAACCATTAGTCCATTACATAACATTACATAACATACATTACATTAAAATTCACATCATACATGTACATGTACCTTGTTTATTGGCCTCAGTCAGTGCCTCCTGTAGTGATACTTTGTTCTCATGAGCCACTTGTAGTTCTTGATGTAAAGACTGAATATATCTCTGAAGCTTCATTTCCTTCTCTGTGGGATACTCTATTAGCTGATCCATCCACCATGTTCTGGTCTTGCTGTATGATGAATACTTTTCTTGATATTTCTTACTAGTGAGATCATTACCATCCAGTACTGACTGTACTATCCACTCACCAGCTTCAATATATACTGAAATAAGGAATAACAATAATTATCAATAATTTTTTTTAATGGTAATAATCCTAATTTTAATAATTATTATCTTACCTAATTCAATTATCATTGTTAGTCTATTAGTATCAGTGATAAATATACCCCATGGCACCTTCTTTCCTCCTCCAACATCTTTCCATTCAAACTCTTTACATCCTCCAACAATTACTAGCCACACACAGTGTGGTGACATTGTGACTGCTGTGAGTGAGTGACAGTATCTACCAGTAACAGATTCAGGTAGAGGAATCTGTAGACAATGAGAAATATTACTGATACATTTTGTATGACAAGTATACATAATACATGTAAATATATACAGTATGTGTACAAGCATGTATGCATGTATCGCTAATTACATGTATGTAGTATTACGGTGAGGCTCCTCCAATTCTCAATATTAAATTATACATAAACAACATACACATGTACCGTAGGTCGGGATATATTCGTGGCTGCAATTATTCGCGGTCATAAAAAATTCAATTAAAAACCATGGAAACTGTTAGAGTGTTGCTATGACAATTAAGACTACGTGTTTAGTGTTCAGCTATTCATCTGTTCTTTAGCAGCTTTACTGGAGCCATTCACCAATAGCGAGTCCTTCTCTATCTGTTAACTTCTTGTATGGACCGCTACCTCAGAGTTCTTTCAGCCTCTTTGCTGCAAATTGTTGCTGGTCCGTGTGGTGGTGATAATAAACCACACCCAAGTCAATAAACACTAACTAGAATGGGTGGAGAGTCCCAAAATACGGCGAGGCACTAGTTCTGAAAAGAACCGGTAAAGCAGCTCCAAAGAGCCCAAGGCTTAGTGACACAAGAAGAACAACAGCTCAAGAACACTGCAGCAAGGTGCTTTTCTTCACTATCGCGCCGTTTTCCATTAAAATAACACCTCGGTTTCCAT